AGTCTCCAATGGATAATTCTTCAGCGTGAGAGCAGGGCTGCTCACGTGCAGACAATACAATGCATCTGTGTCTGTGTCCAACACTACAGAGACCCATTCTTAATCTGATCTGTTTTACCCACTGAGTAGATGGAAACTCCTTGAAGTGAGAAACATATGACTTTCTATCTGAGTGAAGATAGCTGGGTCCAAGGGATTAAACTGGTTCAGAACTGACCTAAATTTTCACTCAAAGATCAAACTATGTTTGAGGTTCAGAAAAAAAAAATCAGGTAAATTTTTTAGAAAAAGTTTCCTGTACATGACTTCTTCTGTCCTGAAGTGGAAATGCCAAAATATTCCAGCAGGGTCTTTTGTGGAACATCTGTCCCAACCAGAAGAAGGAAAGCACTTGGAGTTTCAGATGAAAACCTGCTCTCATGAGATTCCCAGGCTAATCTTGCAGATTGCAGAGGTTCAGATGAGCATCCAAACATTTATGTTCTTATCCCAACCCAGTCGCCACACCTTTTGAGAATGGCCAATCACTATTTTTTGGAACTCTGTAAGTTGCTCTAGTTGGCACTTGAAATGCTTTTAGAACATATTAGCTAAAAGAAAACAACTGGATTCCTTTATAGTTCAAGTAAAATAGAAGACTTTTTAGCATCAGCCATGAGCGAACACCCAAACTGGGCATTGAATTCCTTGACTTAATACCAGTTCTTACCCCTTAACATATAACTTCTTAGGAAGGGAAAGTAATATTTGCCTTTTGTCAGAGGAGGGGGAAGGCTGTGGCCTAAAATAAGTCTTTAAGTTCACCTCTCTAGTTCACACTGAGTAGTATCTTACACCATGAGTCAGTAGGCCTCATTCTCACTTACACCTCTATGGCAGTGTAAGGGGGCCTTCACTGGGCATACATTCCATGTAAGGCTTCTTACACTTCCCAAGTGGTGTAAAGTGATCTGAGAGTAACTGAGAATCAGTCCCAATGGCGCTATTTGTGGAGTCCGTCTGCATAAGGTGGCAGGATCTGGCCTATAATAATTTCTTAATAAAATAATTAATTTGTCAGATAAAATCTCTGTCTTGGCTATTACATGTACATGTGACATGGATAATGCTACTACAGAGACTACAGAGAAAGGAACTTCTCTTGGGTCCCCATGGGGATTTGAAGCTGTTCCTTATTAATAGTCCTGCATAACACACAATATTATGCAGACAAAACACAGAAATACTTTGTCTTCTTTCTTTCACCTCTGCTCCTAACTCTGACTTTTCTCCTCTCAGTCTGCTTTCTCCACTTTCCTTTTCCTCTTTTCTGTTCTTCATGTAGCATGACACAAGCTGAGTTTTGTTTTGTTTTTTATTTTGTCTCCTTTTAAAAAGCCAGTGCTGCAGGAATCGCTGTACCCCACATCCTAGTCCATGAGTATCTCAGAGCCTGAATTTTTATCAGTATGATTTTGGTACACACCAGCCATGTACAGTGCTAGCCCAGAATTGTAGGAAGGGCTATTGTGCCAGATGGCTACCAACCAATACTTATGCTGGATTTTCATTGTCACTACTTGCTGTTCTCTTCACTCTCCCATACTGAAGCCAGGGTCCAAATACAAGCTAAAATACCATTGCGAGGCCGGGTAGAATCCACACAGTGGGAAGCCACCTTCTCTATGTCCACTTGACTTTTAAATGCTCCACGTATCATGAGCCCGGAAAGAGATATCTTGGGCTCCAATCCAGCAAAGCATCTAAGCATATGCATAACTGAATACCTAAGTCATCCCACAGAAGCCAATATCATGCGTTTCAGGTTATGCAACTGTGTATGTGTTTTGCTAGATCAGAGCCTTAGTCTCCAGAGTATGGTATCGAGGGTAAAAGGCCAAGGGCGTCACTTCATTTAAGGAAACAACACACACACCCCTTAAGGGCTCCCATCTCCTTCCAGTGCTTGTGTCATCGGCCCGCCTAGCCCTTTGCTACTACTCATCACAGAGCTTGCTCATTCTCAGCCTCTCTCTGAAGCAGTCTCACAGGAACATGGAGGAAGCAGCAAAGATGCTTCGTTTGAGAAGTAATGATGGGCATCCATTCACTTATGTCCATGGCTTGTTGAGTTCAATGGTGTGTGACGCCCTGAAATGTTTCACATTTTGTTCCCTAATCTCTTCTGCACTTTTTTTGGCACAAGGAGTTGATGAAAGGATGCCAGTGCAACCAGTTAAGAGAAATCACACCAGTTCAACTTTAATTCCTACGGTTGTCTCTGGTCAGAGCTGCACTGAGGTATATTTATCATGGAGTCAGCTCTCTGCTCGCTCCGACAGCTGGGAGAGAAAACAATACAGGTCATGCTTCAGTGATCTCACACGGTCTCAAGAAAGAGAATAATTCGGGCACTTTGCAGGGTTTATGAAATGCAGCTACAAATTCAGATTTGCTATGGAGACGGCTGAATTAACTCTTAAAAATGTTCCTGTTACATCTTCAATGGCTTCCATCCATTTCTTGTTCAGCAACTGGTAGTAACAAAACTTAGATTGAGTTTGTGCCTCTTGTAAACTCAAGTGTCACCGATGGTATGCCAGAATGTCTCATCTGGCTGTAAAGAATGATATGAATGTTGTGGATCTCCAATCCAGATATCATCAGCTGCTCTTCTCTGGGCTCCCTGGAACAGGCCTATCACTGATGTCAACGGGGGCATTGCATTGCACCTCTGAGAGTGCAGGGGTGCTCTCAAGAACTCTCTTTGGTGGATAAGGGCTTTACGGAGTACAGAATATTGGATGAGGAGAATTTTGGATCAGCAACTCAGCAGCAGACAAGCATTAATAAACTTCTCTTCACCCACAAGAGAGGCATAGAGAGAAGCAGGCCAGGGATGAAAGCAAGGAGGGTGGTGAGGAGGGCAGATCCAACATCATTTTATTGCGGATGAGACTTCTAATAAATGACAGGTTTCAAATTCTGAATAAAAACTCAGGTAAGGAAAATCGGTGACTCCCTGACTGGAGGAAAATTCAGAAATGGCACTAACTTCCCCTTTGAAATGCTTTGAAAGGAGGACAACAAAAAAGAAAACTTCTGAAAAAAAACCACACAACTCCCTGCATCCCACAGTTCTTCCAGTGTTGGTTTAATTATAATTTTAATTGCTTTTTCCTTATAATTTTTTTTTCAAGTTAGCAGTAATCGAAATTCAGACAGATTACTGATGTCAGCCCCAGAGAGCTAATGACACACAGCTCCACAAACACAGCTCCAAACAACAGCACCCTGGACCTGTAAACTCTTCAGGAAATTCAGTGAAGTTTTCAGGTTTCAGCTGTTATCCTCATCATATATGGCTTTAAAAACTAATTCCTTACAGTACCATTTTCTTAAAAATACAATTATTTGCATATGACAGGTATTTGTGCAGTGCAAATACTGGAGGCTACTCCTTCAGGCCAAGAACTCACCCATTCACCCACATACCCGTATTTACACATTCATCTACCATACACATATGGCCAGACTCTCTCCCGCATCCAGGGCCGTCAGGGAACTGGTTATGGTTCCCTGGTTTTCAGCCCTGACCCCAGAGCAGTTTAGAGCAGCCTGAGAGTTCCTCCAGACTGCAACAGCTGGCTATGGTCCCCATCTGTCCACGGTTCCTAACCCACAAGCCACTCCCTGCAGTGAGTGCTATGGAGTGAGAGGAGGTGGAGCCGGTGCAGTGTCCCCAAGAGGAGACATAGGGGACCACTGCACCACTGAACTGCACAAAAGGAATACAGTGGCCCAGATTCTCTGGCTACACGAGAGCTGTGTATTAGGTACTGCAAATTGAAGATGCATTCATCAGATACAAATCCTACAAACATTTAACTTTCATTTAGGAGCTCGGGGGTGCATTTAAAGTTGGCTGTAATCTGCTTGAAGTGGTGCAGCCGCCTCCAATCCTGAACAAGAGCCTGGAAGATCTCTCACATTTCTCCTTTATACCCCCCTTCGTAACGTCATATGTGATGAACAGTCCCCTCAAGCTGAGCTGGGAGGGAAACCCTTGGGAGAATCTGTAGGTTTTCAGGGCCTAGAGCGCCGCGATACATTAGATGAAAATGTTTGAGGACAAAACGATTTTCAAAGCCAAACAGCAGCAGCACTCCATACAGGTACATTTGATGGTGCATTTTCTCTTGCTCTTTTTATGTCAAAGAATCTTCTTTGCTCCTCTAACAAGGGGCTTTGATAAAGTGTCTTGGTCTTAAAACAGTCATGTAGAGCCCCATATATGGATAACAAGAATACCCAGAATTACATTGCTAACAAAAATATTGGGAGGGATGGTAAACCTCTTGTTTCTGGGCTCAATCCAATCTCTAAATATCAGGGATTAGGATAAAATTTTATGGCGGGGGGAGATTATCCCACATCTGTCTACTGTGGGGTTCTTATACCTTCCTCTGGAGCAGCAGATTCTGGTCACCGTCAGACTCAGGCTAAGGGATTAGATGGACTTTGGGTCTTATCCTGTCTGGCAGTTCCTATATTCCCATATTCCATGAGTAGTTATGTGGTAGACACATGTTTCAGGCAGATCTAGAGAGCCATATCCTAAACTAGTGTAAATCAGCACAGCCCCATTGAAGCCAATGCTGATTCACACCCAGCCAAGAATTTGGTCCTGTGGCTAACTTGTGTTGAGTAACACTTCAGTGATTTCAAAGAAACGGTTTTCATGTGTAAATGCTGCTCCTCACAACTAAGAATCAGACCCTTACAGAAGAGCTGTCATTTAAAATTATACTGCTAGTGCCACCTCAGCTCCTGGAAACATATATGCTTTAAAAACTTATAGGAGGTCCTGAGGGTGAGTCTGGCACAAGTGAAGGATTTGGACTTCTGCTTTTGTCAAGTTACATAGGGCTTATCTGGAACTGCTGAATATGACAACGGTATAAACAAAGTAGGCAAGGCCACCATTCAGGGTGATCCGAAAGAAACCAGTGGTTACCTACCTGCTCCTCCCTGTAGAAAGCTGTAGGTTCTGCAGTCTTCTGGCTCTTCTGGGGAAACAACCACCTCTCTCGCAGCTGCAGGTTTTGCTTCAGGTGGATGGCCACCTGCTCGTCAGGATCTGCCAACAGAGACCTCAGGTTTTCCTGTTCCAACCCAAGTTAAAAAACCAAAACACACAGGGTACAAAATGTCATTATATAGCAACCTTATTATCATTAATCATAGAATCATAGAATATCAGGGTTGGAAGGGACCTCAGGAGGTCATCTAGTCCAACCTCCTGCTCAAAGCAGGACCAATTCCCAACTAAATCATCCCAGCCAGGGCTTTGTCAAGCCGGGCCTTAAAAACCTCCAAGGAAGGAGATTCCACCACCTCCCTAGGTAATGCATTCCAGTGCTTCACCACCCTCCTAGTGAAACAGTGTTTCCTAATATCCAGCCTGGACCTCCCACACTGCAACTTGAGACCATTGCTCCTTGTTCTGTCATCTGCCACCACTGAGAACAGCCAAGCTCCATCCTCTTTGGAACCCCCTTTCAGGTAGTTGAAAGCAGCTATCAAATCCCCCCTCATTCTTCTCTTCTTCAGACTAAACAATCCCAGTTCCCTCAGCCTCTCCTCATAAGTCATGTGCTCCAGACCCCTAATCATTTTTGTTGCCCTCCGCTGGACTCTTTCCAATATTTCCACATCCTTCTTGTAGTGTGGGGCCCAAAACTGGACACAGTACTCCAGATGAGGCCTCACCAATGTCGAATAAAGGGGAACGATCACGTTCCTCGATCTGCTGGCAATGCCCCTACTTATACAGCCCAAAATGCTGTTAGCCTTCTTGGCAACAAGAGCACACTGTTGACTCATATCCAGCTTCTCGTCCACTGTGACCCCTAGGTCCTTTTCTGCAGCGTTGGGTAGCTATCCCACAGTTCCCGCAGTCTCCGCAGCCCATTGGAATTCTGGGTTGAGATCCCAATGCCTGATGATGCAAAACAGTGTCACAGGGGGTTCTGGGTACATGCCGTCAGGCCCCTCCCCCTCCGTCAGAGCAACGGCAGACAATCGATTCGTGCCTTTTTACCTGGGTTACCTGTGCAGACAACATACCATGCCAAGCATGGAGCCCGCTCTGCTCAGCTCACCGTCACCATATGTCATCTGGGTGCCGGCAGACATGGTACTGCATTGCTACACAGCAGCAGCTAATTGCCTTTTGGCAGTAGACGGTGCAGTATGACGGGTAGCCTTCATCAGCGATCTGGGTGCTGGCAGACGTGGGGCTGCATTGCTACACAGCAGCAGCCCCTTGCCTTTTGGCAGTAGATGGTGTATTACGACTGGTATCCGTCGTCGTCGTACTCCAGTTCAATCATAGGCACCTGGGCAGACATGCTTTGTCTCCTGGAGACTCAGTCCTGCCGGCAGTCCTATTGAACCGTCTTGACGATGATGGCTAGCAGTCGTAGTACAGTATCTTCTGCCAAGCACCCAGAAGATGCCGAGGGCTATCAGTCATGCTGCACCGTCTACTGCCAGCTTAAGATGTAAAAAATAGATGGACCAGATTTGTTCTGTATTCATTTGCTTCCCCCTCCCTCCGTAAACTCAACGGCCTGCTAAACCCAGGGTTTTGAGTTCAATCTTTGGGGGGGCCATTCTGTGTGACAGTTGTTTGTGTTTCTCCCTGATGCACAGCCACCTTTGTTGATTTTAATTCCCTGTACCTGTATGCCATGTCGTCAGTCGCCCCTCCCTCCCTCCGTCAGTTTCGCGCCTTTTTTCAGACCAGACGCCATAGCACTGGAATCATGGAGCCCGCTCAGATCACCATGGCAATTATGAGCACTATGAACACCACGCGCATTGTCCTGGAGTATATGCAGAGCCAGGATATGCCAAAGCAAAACCAGGACCAGCCGATGAGGCAATTGCAGTGCGGCGACGAGAGTGATGAGGAAATTGAAATGGACACAGCCCTCACACAAGGTACGGGCCCCAGCAATGTGCAAATCATGGTGTTACTGGGGCAGGTTCATGCCGTGGAACGCTGATTTTGGGCACGGGAAACAAGCACAGACTGGTGGGACCGCATCGTGCTGCAGGTGTGGGATGATTCCCAGTGGCTGCGAAACTTTCGCATGCGTAAGGGCACTTTCATGGAACTTTGTGACTTGCTTTCCCCTGCCCTGAAACGCCAGAATACCAGGATGAGAGCAGCCCTCCCAGTTGAGAAGCGAGTGGCGATAGCCCTGTGGAAGCTTGCAACGCCAGACAGCTACCAGTCAGTCGGGAATCAATTTGGAGTGGGCAAATCTACTGTGGGGGCTGCTGTGATCCAAGTTGCCAGGGCAATCAAAGACCTGCTGATATCAAGGGTAGTGACTCTGGGAAACGTGCAGGCCATAGTGGATGGTTTTGCTGCAATGGGATTCCCAAACTGTGGTGGGGCGATAGACAGAACCCATATCCCTATCTTGGCACCGGAGCACCAAAACACCGAGTACATAAACCGCAAGGGGTACTTTTCAATGCTGCTGCAAGACCCAGTGGATCACAAGGGACGTTTCACCAGCATCAACGTGGGATGGCCGGAAAAGGTACATGATGCTCGTGTCTTCAGGCACTCTGGTCTGTTTCGAAAGCTGGAGGAAGGGACTTTCTTCCCGGACCAGAAAATAACCATTGGGGATGTTGAAATGCCTATCGTGATCCTTGGGGACCCAGCCTACCCCTTAATGCCATGGCTCATGAAGCCGTACACAGGCAGCCTGGAACAGAAGTCAGGACCTGTTCAACTACAGGCTGAGCAAGTGCCGAATGGTGGTGGAATGTGCATTTGGACGTTTAAAAGCGCGCTGGCGCAGCTTACTGACTCGCTCAGACCTCAGCGAAAAGAATATTCTCATTGTTATTTCTGCTTGCTGTGCACTCCACAATATCTGTGAGAGTAAGGGGGAGACATTTATGGCGGGGTGGGAGGTTGAGGCAAATCGCCTGGCCGCTGATTATGCGCAGCCAGACACCAGGGCGGTTAGAAGAGTACAGCAGGGCGCAGTGCGCATCAGAGAAGCTTTGAAAATGAGTTTTGTGACTGGCCAGGCTACGGTGTGAAACTTCTGTTTGTTTCTCCTTGATGAAGCCTCCGCCCCCCCCCCACCCAGTTCACTTTACTTCCCTGTAAACCAACCACCCCACCCTCCCCTCCCCCCTTCGAGCACCGCTTGCAGAAGCAATAAAGTCATTGTTACTTCACATTCATGCATTCTTTATTAATTCATCACACAACTAGGGGGATAATTGCCAAGGTAGCCCAAGACGGGTGGGGGAGGAGGGAAGGAAAAGGACACACTGCAGTTTAAAACTTTAAAACTTTAACACTTATTGAAGGCCAGCCTTCCGATGCTTGGGCAATCATCTGGGGTGGAGTGACTGGGTGGCCGGAGGCCCCCCCACCGTGTTCTTGGGCGTCTGGGTGAGGAGGCAATGGGACTTGGGGAGGAGGGCTGTTGGTTACCCAGGGGCTGTAGCGGCGGTCTCTGCTCCTGCTGCCTTTCCTGCAGCTCAACCATATGCTGGAGCATATCAGTTTGATGCTCCAGCAGCCGGAGCATCGACTCTTGCCTTCTGTCTGCAAGCTGACGCCACCTATCATCTTCAGCCCACCACTTGCTCTGTTCAGCCCGCGATTCAGCCCGCCACCTCTCCTCTCGTTCTTATTGTGCTTTTCTGTAGTCTGACATTGACTGCCTCCACGCATTCTGCTGTGCTCTTTCAGCCTGGGAGGACATCTGGAGCTCCGTGAACATATCATCCCGAGTCCGCCATTTTCTCCTTCTAATCTTTGCTAGCCTCTGTGAAGGAGAAACATTTGCAGCTGGTGGAGGACAAGGGAGAGGTGGTTAGAAAAGACACATT